GTTCCCAAGTTTGGCATACCTGTATAATGCTTTACTTTAAGATCATTGAAAAACTATCAGACATCCAGAGTTTATGCCACAGCAGTCAGTTTTCTTCAGCGCACACACAAGTGAGTTACATTCAGTTAGTGATACTGAGTGGTGTGGTGTGAAGCAGACCATCTCCTCCAGCCTGGTGGCTCATCGTCTCAGCTGGCTGCAACTGCTCCCACTTACTGTTTAGTCACACCTAGCCCAACTATATGAAATGAAAATGTACAAAAATGTAGTCAGTACTTTTTAAAATTGTAAGAAATAAAAATGAGAAACATTAGAAATGTATTTTAGTGAAGTATTCAGTTTAAATTACACTTAAGTTAAGTACAAACCCCCAAAAACAATATTTAACTATTTTTTTATACTTAATGTTAGTGAAATAAAATAAAATAACTCTTTACACCTATGCATAAAACGATTGCAAGACATTTTTATGGTACATGACCCGTTTCTGCTCACCTGCTCCCTGGTTGTCTGTTTAATAGCATTGACCCTAAATAACATGTGAATATAAATGTTGGCTACTTCAGAAAACAGAAAATAAGCACATCGAAAAAAATCTCTTACTTACCGTTATGAAAATGTCGAGGGTAAACGAACATAACCGGAGATATGTTGGCAAATATGATGATTGTGCTCATCACCGCTGCAACCCAGGCCATCTTACGCAGCGACGCCTCTTGTTGTTTAGCATTTTTTTTCAAGTGTGAGACCTAACATATCTTTCTTCGTGGTGAGTTTTTGACCTTTTCTATCATGTAATTCACTATTGCAAACTTTAACACAACAAGAACGTACCATTTTAAATCAAATGAAAAAGACAATGCTCCAACTACAGAACACCTCGGCTTTGATACCTTACAAATGGCGGCGATACCCAAAATGCACTTCGATTCTCGTGAGTGTGACGTCACCTGACAAAGACCGATTGTGAGATCACGTGATGGTTCACTTGTCCGAACGAACCGATTCGGTAAGAATCGGATTGGCCAACACTAGGGATGGGCGATACCCCTTATTTTGTTTTCGATACGATACCGATATTTTTCAAGGCAGTATCGTCGATATCGAT